CGCGCTAGCCTAAGGGCCACCTTAGCAAAGCGCATCCCAGGCTGCATAGCCGCACTACCCTACCCAACCATACCACACATAAACATGACACTACCCCCGGGGTTTACACAGACGAGCCGGCGAAGCAAGAAGAGCGCCAGAAGAAAGGGCCCTAGCCGGCGGGGCCCAGCCAGGACAAAAGGAGGTCCCACAAAGCGCCTACACCGGCCGCATTTGCGGTCGGGGTAGACGACGGATGGGGCCCACCTACGAAGGCTGTCCAGGCCTACACGAGATGAGGCAGGATAAAGAGGGATAATCCCCCTCCATCCCAAATCATTGAGGCCAATTTCTAGCCATGGAATAATGGCGGCGGCGGTATCACTAGAGATCGCTGAAGAGATTTTTTTTTCATTATACGTCATTTATATGAATTGCCCACAGATTTGTAAAAGGAAATATTATTATTTATTATACTGCGCTTGCCCTTATTGGGCATTGGACGTATGTTGTACAAAACTGAACTGATCATAATAATTATTAATTATAATAATAATAATAATAGGTTCAATTCATTATATATTTTGTGGGTTCAATCCCATAGAAAACTTAATATTAATATATTTTCTATGGTTCAATCCTCATGCCTCAATGACCTCAATGATGTCGGAGACAACATGATGTGTAAAAGCGGAGGGCAACGTTTTTTTTTTTAATTTAGATATCTGTTAAATATTTACAAATCACATTCATAAATATGCCTGAGGATTCTAGAGGAGAGAAGCGTACAGTAGAAGAAGAGTTTCAGACGATTAAAAAACCTCATTTTATACAAGAATCATATACAGAAGATACAGAAATCAAAAAGGAATGTGTAGAAGACGAGCAATCAATTTCAAACATGCAACCTATTAATAATGATAATAGCGAGTCTACAAATACTTTAAAATATTTCAATGGCGTGGAAATATCTAAGCTAAGCAAGAGGCAGTTAAAAAAATACCACAAAACGTTAAAGTGGTTAGACATTAAAAAAGAAAAGCGTGCTAAAGAAAGGATAAAAACTAAGGAGAAGCGATTACATGCTAAATTAAATAATATAGATTTAGGACCTAGTCGAAAAGAGCTCAAAAAAGTAAAGATGAAAAACAGTCCTTGCAAAATTGGTATTTGCATAGATTTGAGCTTTGATGAACTCATGATAGATAAGGTGTAAATAAGCTGATCTAGCATAAAATAAAAATAATATTCATTTAAAATTTTAGGATATGGCTAAAACCATAAAACAGATACTAAGAGTTTATACACTGAATAGAAGATCTAAAGCTCCGATGCAATTACATTTAACAAGTTTTAACGGACGAAACAAAGAGGAGATGTCTCGTCACCATGGATATGAGAATTGGGATATTAACTTCCACTCAAACGATTATCTAAAAATATTTCCTAAGGAAAAATTAGTATACTTAACTAGTGAAAGTGATAATGTTATGACGGAATTAGAAGATGAAAAAATTTATATTATTGGTGGACTTGTCGATCATAATTCTCACAAGGTAATCCAAATATGAGATTTTGCTTTTAAACCTCCTTTGTCTTTGAGCTCGTTACTACTTGGTAATTTATTTTTAGGGGCTCTGTTACAACAAAGCCGTTAAAGAAGGAATAGCCCATGCACAGCTTCCAATTGGAGAATATTTCTGGATGAAACATAGAAAGGTTTTAACAATAAATCAAGGTAGTTTTCATTCATAAAAGTACATGTTCTTTCATGTGTTTAAAACACTATTTTTAATTTGTAGTAGCTGCTAGCTTACAGTTTGTTATACTTTTTTGTAGTCTTTGAAATTCTATTGGGCGTTAGTGAAGGAAAATCATTTAAAGAGGCCTTTGAATTAATATTACCCAAGAGAATTGAAAAAGTGTCAACAGATAAGCCTATCACAATTGAGGCTAAGGATGAAGATGAAAAAATGTGATTTTACAGTTGTTAAATATTATTTGGCATGGGAAAATAAATGTTAAAAAAGCTCCAAAAGAGAGAAATTGTGATTATATACTTTTAAAATAACTGATTTCTATATTTAAATAAATATAATTAAAGTTTATTGTGTGTATATTATTCTTCTATTCTTGTAATACTTTTTCTGAAAGTTGGAAACAATTTCTTCTTCTTTGTGTAGTATAAGTACATAAATCATAAAGTATCACTAGTCTGTTAATTTGTATCAAAATAATTACTGCTCCAAGAAATTAACGTACTGTTTCTGGAACGTGGAAGTTTGGTTTGGCTGGCTGACCACCACAAATCCAGACCTCAATCCCATTGACCATGTCTGGAGAGAGATCTGAATTGGCCTAATAAAAAAAATATGGGACATATTGAAGTATTGAATGAACTGGATCAAAACGACATTTAAATACTTTTTTTGAGTAAAATAACGAATTAATAATTGAAAGTTCATTTCCATAAAAAGATCTGCAACTTTATGGGTTTTAAATTAATTTATTAATGATAATCAAAGGATTATATTGACACCAAGCATTTTTTAGTTATAAGGTAATTTATTAAGTACTAAAATTATTTGTGGCAATTGATTTATTGAGTAGAATTGGAGGGCCTACGTGATCGGTCGACAGTATGGCCCTATGACTCACTTTGTATACTCCATACTTGTTAAAGAAATTTAAAAATATCTGTAACAAGTCAAAAGACAACCGCAGTACTTTTAGTAGAGTTTAGATAAATCTCAAGTGATAACGTAAAAATGGCACTACAAAATTGAATATTGTTCCTGGCGCAAACAATACAAAGAAATGTACTTACTAAATGTCCCAATATTTTGACACCACTTGTTATTTTGAAAATTGGTTAATTCCAGTTGGTTTCTTAGGGAAAAAAGATGTGTTTTCTATCTTATTTGAAAATGAGCAATTTTTTAATTTAAAATAAACCACCGATAGGTATATTTGAACAAATCAAAAATAGTTCCAAAACTAACATTTCACAAAAAATAAAGGAATTATTTATTAGAAATAAAATTTTAAGTGCAACCAGTTATGGAAAGGGCAAAAATATCATTGGTTTGGAAATTTTTTCAGATAATCTAAAAAAATTTAAATTGCTATCTATACCAATGATTTTTTTAGTATCTAATTGTATTTGGAATTATAATTCCAACAAAAAACTTTTTTGTGAAATGAATAATTTTATTATTTTCGATTTACATATTTGAATACAGACTTTATTTTAAATTTTAGAAAATAATTACTCAAGAACAGTTCATTTTTCGAATAAAGTAGAAGACATCCAACCGGAATTAAACGCATCAAATTTGCATAATATTCAATGATTCAAATTATAGGGTTGTGACGGTATCGCCCAAAATTTGCACCACTGGTTAACAGATTTGTATATCAACAAATTGTCCATAATTAATTAAACAATTTCCCCAAGTTTGTTTTTTCTCAAATATTTTAAGAATATTTAAATAATTTCTTTTAAATTTCAACATTACCTTAAAAACATTTTTTCTTATTTTGAGGTGTTCTATCACCGGATAAAGTTTAGCTTGTGCAATTCGGGCCACCCTATATATTGCACTATCATTTCACTAACAACATTTGAAAGAGACGACTACAGAAGCCATTTCGATATACAGGGTACAACATTAAATAGGGTCATATTTATACGAAGGCTACCTTTGACCTTTAAAAATACATATGATAAGTTTGTATTCTCAAATTTCCTCGTGAAAACACTTTTTTTGTAGTTTTTCATGACCCACTGCTGGGCAGACTAATGGAACCTCAAACAACTGCGAACGTGAGATATGACATGCATTGTTGTCAAATCTCATCTTTTTTTATTCGTATTTACATTTTTTCATATCACAGAAATGTTAAAGACAAACACATCATACCAATGACTAATAATTCAGACAGAACGTTGCAAAATTAACTACCATATACTAATCACTAACACCTTTTTTATTTAACTGAATAACAACTGAAAACTAAAATGAATGTGATAAAACCAACTGGGGACATATTAAGCCATTCTTAATTACTTCACCAGATTAAAGTTGACTCTTCATTTTTTATCTGCGTAACATCCCTATTGTCATATCTCATTAGAAGACACTGAGACTCATAAACAGTGCTTTTAAAAAAAATGGTGACAAATACTTTTTATTAAACATTTGGTATAAATGAATTTAAAAAATATTTCAAATCTATCATATTAGTATTTATATTAATTTTTTTATGTACATTTCGTAAAACAGCAAAATTAATAGTATGAAAACATAAATTGGTTTTACTTACAATTAGTAATATGTCTAACCATACACCAAATCAGCAAAAAATATTTAATGTTTTTTGTAATTAATACCTCGTAGTCAGGAAATTAATCTGATTTTTTAAAATTATTTTCTATTGCAGTTTCACTCTCTGCCACTTAAGAACATGCAACACTTATAAGCAGGCACGTACAAATAAGTTCGGATCAGTAGCGGCAGACAAGAGTTCACTTTAAAAAAACAAACTCATACTACCCATAGGCAATTGCCCCCCCCCCCCCCTCAATTATTGCAATTGAGCTAAAAAAAAGTAAACTCAGAGTTAAACTTCAAGAGAGTGCAATTTCAATAGTCGTATGACAACAGATCGTAGTTAAACCCCAGACAGGTGGGGGAAAGCGAGCTCAATACTCGTAAAACCACAGAAAAGCGATTTAAACCCCCCGATAGGCGGGGGAAAATGAATTCAATACTCGTATGCAATATAAGTAAAACCACTGACAAGTTAAACTCTAGATAGGCGGAGAAACTTAGTTAAAGTATTGAACTCGCTTTCCGCTGCCCGTCTTCGGGGGAAAATGAATTCAATACTCGTATGCAATATAAGTAAAACCACTGACAAGTTAAACTCTAGATAGGCGGAGAAACTTAGTTAAAGTATTGAACTCGCTTTCCGCTGCCCGTCTTCGGGGGAAAATGAATTCAATACTCGTATGCAATATAAGTAAAACCACTGACAAGTTAAACTCTAGATAGGCGGAGAAACTTAGTTAAAGTATTGAACTCGCTTTCCGCTGCCCGTCTTCGGGGGAAAATGAATTCAATACTCGTATGCAATATAAGTAAAACCACTGACAAGTTAAACTCTAGATAGGCGGAGAAACTTAGTTAAAGTATTGAACTCGCTTTCCGCTGCCCGTCTTAGTTTAACTGAATTCGCAATCTCTCTGGATTTTTCTTTAAAATTTTCGACAGATGTCTTGCCAACGAAACTACTTGATCAACTAAAAAAAGAAAGAAAGAAAACAAATTATTTCAGTTTTGGTACCCTAAATAACTGGCCTCCACTTAAACTCACACTCTGTATCCTGTATGTTAAACTGCTAGGTTTCAGTTGCGTCAAAATAACATGCCGGTAAGTGTATTTTAATACACTTAAGTTAAATTATTTTGATATTACTAGTTACGTTGTCGCACAAATATCAAATTTTACTCATAACTTCAACAACAGAGTTCAACAGATACAACTTTCGATAAAATATTTCCAAATATCCACTTTCTGTAAATTTGTAATGTCCTACTTCAAATAAAAACCAGGTTGCTACTATTTAATCTATATTATGTTAATAACTGGTTCACACTTTCTATCCTAATTAAAATCAAATCACAAATTGTAAACTAAAATACTTATTCTAATAACACCAAACATATCACAATGTAATAACCAGCAGAGTTAAGTTGCATAAAATTATTACTGATCTTCAATTTCTTCAGAGTCGATAATCTCAAATTCGCTATCACTGCTGTTTTTCCTTACAACAGGAGCATTTGACGCTGCAGAATTTAGTACTTTGGAAACTAATGTACCTCCAACTGCCGCAAAATTACTTAAAACTACCGATAATCCCACTTCTGTAGCTGTTTTCTTGTGGGGTTCTTCACCCGGATCAGCTGAAAATCTCAACCCTTTCACATGTACATTTTCCTCTTCTGATGAACTGTCTCCGTTGAAGTGTGCCGAATCAAACTGAATAGCACGATGATCGGAATCCGAATCGCTAGACAATTCTCCAGGAGTGTAAGAGATTCCATCTTGGGTCATATTCTTTGGTAATAAGTCATCTTCTTCTATTCCATTTTGACTTTCTGTTACTTCTAGGTATGAAGGCATAGCACTTATTCCGCTAGCCATAGAATTTGTTACCGAGTCTAAAACCATAAATACTGTTTTATAAGGGTGGTTCTAAATTGTCTGCCGATATTTTCAGGTGGATAACCTACATCAAAAATAAGGTAATTTTTTTTACATGAACTTTTTCCAAAAATGGGTAATAAAGGATTGTTCCTTTAACATGGTAGCATTAATGGTTATTTAATATGATTCAGGTGTTAAAGTAGGATGACAGATATATGTTTTATTATATCTAGTCTTTTTAAGATATTTATTCATATTTTAATCTGGGACACACATTGTGGAAGGAGCAGTTTTAGGGGAGACTACGTACCATTTCATATCCTACTATTTTATTTTTATCCCACTTATATTTTTGAAAAGTATTGATTTTGATACTATTAAAGATGAAAGGTACTCTTGCATAATATTAATGAATCAAAGTATTTTCAACAAATTCAGGTTTATACATGAAGGTGCATTTGGAAAATTTCATATCAAACCATAAAATTCCATACAAGAAATACTTTGGTTACGTATTGCTCGAAAAAAATTAAGATTAATTTTTGTTTAAGGAAATACATGTAACGAAACTATCAAAAAAATATTTGAAAAACATTACCTTGTACAAACTTAAATTTTTTTTAATGATTACACAACTAAAATTTTTTTTGTGAAGATTGTTCGAAATGTGACATTTTAATGCATATGCCTTTGACATTAAGAAATTTATTATGCTGTAAATGAACTATCGTATGTAACTGGAACAGGAAATTTATCATAATTAAAACAAGAATGTCCTCTTTTCTAATAATCTGGAGACAAAAATTTTGAAAAAATTAAAAAATGTGAGAAAAAATAAAGTTGCCAGATGCCCTAGACTAAGATTTTAAACTATAAATAAAATTTCCACTTTTAAGATATAAAAAAATATTATATCCACCTATCTATCTATTTATTTATTTACTATTTACTATTCATTTATGGAAAGAAGCTTATATACAAAGGTATGTACTTTTACTTTTTGATGTATTATCTGTCCTGAAGATATGATGATACTCTCCCGATTTTATCGTTTTTTTTTCAAGTAAGACCAACATTAAATACCTACAAGTTTATTTAAAAATAATTATGAGTGGAATGACTTAAGAAAAAGCAGTCTATGGACAGAACAATGATATCATATTTAGTTTTGAAACTTCTCATTTAGTTAAGATGTGTGTTAATTCTAGTTATCAAATGCAATAAACTGATTTTTATAAAAAAAAGTTTGAGGTTTAATTTATTTGTATATGTAATAAATTGTTGAAAGAAACTGCAATTAGCACAGGTGCTACAGAACTTAGAAGAAATGCATTCTTTGTATAAGAGGAAAAACATCTGGCGTTGACATTAGCGTCAGTGTGCTAATGGCGTGTACCCTTAACAGAAATTTTTCTGCTTTTGATTGTCTTATAGATACTATTAAATTATATGAAATAGGGTTTCTGCAATTGTTAAAATGAATTAGAGTTATTGGGAATTTTATTAAAACAAACTCTCCTTCCGTATACTTATCATATACAGATTATCTAAGAATGAAGGAGGTCATTGGACTATCAAATATTTTTAGATAGACTTGTCTCACAAATTGTTTATATATAAATATTTAATTTTATATACCTATATATTTCTTAATGTTTTTAAATAAAATTTATAAATATTACCTGCAGTTCTATCAGTCAAAAGACTATCCAAATCAGTATCTTTTCTACTAAAATCTTTATTAGAAATAAACGGAATCAATTCCTCTTCTGCTAAAACTCCTAGAAAAATATTTTCTTAAAGGTACTAAACTATTAATTAAAAAAAAAATTGCAGAATTCAAATTGTCATTTCAGGATTTTATACAAAATTTATTTCATCTCTGTACAGTATCAGTCAGATTTAATATCTGGGCAGAGGTACTTTTGAAAATAAAAAAGTTTTCACAAGGCAATTTGTTCAAAAATTACCCTTCACTTTTACAGAATATTTATTTTTTTATATTTGTCAACTAATGGAAATTTGTAACTGCATTATTTTAACTACTGCTAACACAATTTTAAAAGTCATTCAAATGAGAAATTAATTTTTCACATTCCTCTGAAACTGCCTCCTATTTTTGTATTACAAAAAGAATGGTATAAAAACTGACATCAAAAATAAATTCATTTAAATTGAAAAAAAAAAAAATATTTATGGAAAAAAAAATGTGAATTATTTTTACTACTATACACTACATTTTTTTTTAATTTAAGTAATGAACCATATTTCCACTGGTTTTTTTATAGCTCTTGGTATTACAAATTATTAAAGCAACCTATCTATTAAGATGTATACCAAATTTATTTTAAATATATATCTCCACTAATTTGGAAAATATAAAAATATTTCATAGACACATTCTCTCTTTTAGATACAAATGTCAGGGTAACCCTCGTAATCCTACAAACAAGCATTATGTGAATACTTTTATGAGATATTGCTTTAACGTGATATCACAATAACTCCTTATATCACATCTACTCCAGGAAGCCTTAAATCTGACGCCCCTATACAATATAGAGATTATATAAAAAATAAAAGAAATAGTTAATATTAATATTTTTCATAGAACTGCATACCTTTAGATGTACCTATTGACTTCAGTACTTCTTTCAGATCAATAATATACCGTTCTGGGAGATATTTAAATCCTAACGGAATAAAAAATATTCCGAGTATCATAAAATATAATAAAACATAACCAGAAATATTTCCTGCAATGAAGCTCATGAAAAGACAAACCATTGACATCCCAAGACAAAACTAAAACAATTTTATTAAATAATAAAAAAGACACCTACTTATTTGTGCTTACGGATGAAGGGCTTTCCTTGCGCAGCGACTTTAAATTTAGAATAATATCATAAACAGTGCACCATATATCATCTATAACTTCTAAATAATGTCCTCGATAAACTGTGCATTCTTTGGTTTCAAAATAAGTATCCCACAAGAATCCTAATAAAATACTAAAGAAAAACACACCAAAGAATTTCAGCTGCCACTGTACTATCACCCTGTAATTAAAATCGGTTATATATATTTTTTTTCAAATATTCAGTAAAGTAATTTTTACTTACCAAAATATAAAATTAAGTATCAAGAATATCACTAAAGTGAGAGTATTATTCTCCCAACTGAGAATTTTAAAAGTATGATCCAAATAAATTTCATATCTACTCACTTCCCGTTCTTTGTTACTTTCTCTAATTCGGGAAATAAAAACATTTGTCAGTGATCGAAATTTATCTTTTAAATACTCCATTTTCAAACTAAGGAAATACCCGTTCTACCAAAATAATTCACGCTACAGTGGAAGCCATGAACTACCTATAGTTTATTATTAACAAATATTTGTTTAATAAGAGAACGTTGAACGATTGTTATAATGTGATTGCGATCGATACAAAACTGCGCACATTTTTTTGTCATTCGCGTAGCAAGTTTAGCACAACAAATTAATAGAAGTAATAGAACACATATTTATCGCCAAAATTGCAGGCAATACAGATACAAAAATAAAACCACAAGAAAACAAAAGAAAACAGACCATAGATTAAATTTTCTACAGAAGACAACTAACAGCACAGTACGCCATTATTCCATGGCTAGAAATTGGCCTCATTGATTTGGGATCGAGGGGGATTATCCCTCTTTATCCTGCCTCATCTCGTGTAGGCCTGGACAGCCTTCGTAGGTGGGCCCCATCCGTCGTCTACCCCGACCGCAAATGCGGCCGGTGTAGGCGCTTTGTGGGACCTCCTTTTGTCCTGGCTGGGCCCCGCCGGCTAGGGCCCTTTCTTCTGGCGCTCTTCTTGCTTCGCCGGCTCGTCTGTGTAAACCCCGGGGGTAGTGTCATGTTTATGTGTGGTATGGTTGGGTAGGGTAGTGCGGCTATGCAGCCTGGGATGCGCTTTGCTAAGGTGGCCCT